AACAACCTTCTAATCCCCATTACTCCCCCTGACTGAATCATTAGTAAATACTAATAGATCATCCACAAAGCACAGATGAGAAAGCTCTAGAATTTTACATCTTGGATGATAGGGCACTTGATTTTTAATAACAACATCATGCAAAAGACAATAGAAGAACTCCATTGCAACAGTAAATAAGTAGGGCGATAGGGGATCCCCTTGACGAAGCTCTTTACAATCAGGAAAGTATCCACACAGGCCACCATTAAAACAAACACTCAACATGGGTGTTCTAACACAAGCTTCCAATAACTGAACAAACTCTGCTGAGAAATTCATTGATAAGACAACTTTAAACAAAAATTCCCAATCAACAGAATCAAAAGCCTTCATTAATTCTATTTTCAACACACACCTCGAAGATATTGATTTTTTGTGATAGTCCTTGACCAGTTCAGAAACCATTAATATGTTATCACTAATTAGCCTTCCCTTAACAAAAGTTGATTGTGCTTTTCCTATAACAAGAGGAAGCACTGCTGCCAGCCTAATTGCAAGCATTTTAGATATCCCTTTATACAATACATTGCAACAAGAGATTGGTCTAAAAATTTCATTCGGTCTACTACTGGCAACTTAGGGATTAAAGCTAGAATAGTGGAATTTACCTGTTTTGGCATTATGCATGTTCGAAAGAACTATAGCACAACCTCCTCCACATATTCCCCCAACTATAGCCCAGTCACCCTTATAGAACTCAGCTGAAAAGCCATCTGGCCCTGGAGCCTTATCATTTGGCATTTGCTTGAATACCTTCCGAATTTCTTCTCTTGTTACTAGAGCCATTAGAGAGGCTACTGCTTCTGCATCAAGGGTGTGCCTCATGAAACTTATGTAATAAGCAACTTCCTTACCCTGCACAGCTGTATCTTTATTCCCCAGCAGATGTTGATAAAACTCCACTACAATTGCCCCCATTTCCTTTAATGTAGTGACCTTTGTACCATCGTCTTTTAGTAGTCTCTTTTTCGTTTGTCGATGGTTCCTTACTTTCACCAATCTATGAAAATACGCAGTATTGGCATCACCCTCCTGTACATATCTAACTCTGGATTTCTGACGGTATAGACTCTCCTCTGCCTTCAGTAATTCACTGCAGATGGCAGCTTGCTCCAATTCAAGTATAGCATTATCTGCAGTAGGATGAAGCAGAACTTCAGTTTGCCTGCGAGCCAGCTCCAAATCAGCCTCTCTCACACGAGCAGAGATATCAGAATAGCTTTCTCGATTCAACTTCTTCAACTTATATTTAAGACATTTCAACTTCCTATAAAACTATTGATATTGAGCCCCTTCAACCTCCTCATCCCATGCTTCTAATACTAGCCCCTCATACTGTGGATGTTGCCTCCACATTTTGAAATACTTGAAAGGCTTTGGAAGAGATTCAATGTCTGGGCAAGAATCCATCAACAATCCAGAATGTTCTGATACACCAAGTGATGAAGTGCGAGCCACACTGTTTGTAAATATATCCAACCACTCCCCACTAACTAGGAATCTGTCAAGCCTCTTAGCTATTGGATTTGCTACCTGTTTATTCCACCAATTCAACCAAGACCCCTGTACAGCATGATCAACTAATCTCATATCAGCTATCCATTGTCTAAACTCCAAACAACTTTGGGTTAGAACTATCGTAGTGGATGCTTCTGACACTTCAGCAATTGCAATAAAATCTCCCATAAACAGTCCAGGCTTCCCATGCTGACACTTTGCAAGCAGTTAAGCATACATCAGAGTCCTCTACATAGTCTTGTTTGGGGCATAAATAGCAGTCACCAACACCTCCTGTACTCCCTCAACTCGAACTTATATAAAGTGCTCACCCATTGCCACTTCTGAGACCCTCAATGAAGGCTTCCAGAACAACCATACTCTACCCAACTTCGAATACTTGTAATTATTAATATTCCTCCATCTACTAAACTTACGTTGAACTATATCTTCTGCATTACTAGCCAAAGCTCTAGTTTCCAAAACAGCAAACAAATCTACTTTGTTTGCGTGCGGGGCGCGGGGAGGGGGGGGGCTTTGGATCGTGTTTTATATTACCTGAAGAATGTTCAAGGTCAGGGCCTTCTTCTTCATTCCACGGTAATCTGTAGTTGATAGCCCATTGTGATGCCGATTGGGCGGGAAAGCAACTCACACTTCGCTCCACTTTTGAGTATTTTGTTACTTTGGGTACTACTCAGAGTTCATGACGCACTAAGAAAACACTAAGAAATAGACAGTTGTTGCTAGATCGTCTGCTGAAGCAGAGTTCGGGCCATGGCTAGTGTTTTTAGCTATGTGATTTGGTTGCGTGCCCTTTTGTGTGATGTGGGTGTTGTTCAGTCGGGTTTCATGGTCCTTCTTGTGATAATCAGGTTGCACTTCACATCGCAGCCAGTCCAATCTTTCATGAATAGACTAAGCATGTCGAGCTTAACTATTATTTTATAACGGACCATGTTGCCGGACACTCTATACTTCCCACTAAGATTTCCCCTCAAGATTATGTGGCTAACATCTTCACAAAAAGGCTTGGTGGTGATCAGTTTAATTACCTCCTCTCAGAGCCTAGCATTTGTGACATGCATGCTTCGCTTGCTAGGGTAAATACCTGCATGCGAGTAGGGACTATTTGGTAACTTTGTCTCTCTAGTTCCTACGAGTTTTTTACAAAAGATTATCATATATATATTGATTGGAATAATAGATAGTTATATCCTGGAATTAATCCAGGTCAGAAAATCAGAGAAATGACTCGTAGTCTGGTACAATAAAAGGGTCTTCCTAGCCACCAAATGGGCTACCCTATTCCTATGTTGGCTTAGAAATCGCACACTAAGGCCACTGTGACTCGCGAAATAATGCTCAACCTCCTCGACAATGGCCCCCATCCGATTATCCTAGGTATCAACCCAATTGATCTTCTCAATGATCACTTTGGCATCACCTTCAAACCTCGTCCTCGTAAATCCCTGGTTTAGACACCAGAGAATAGCCTCCCAGAGAACGAGCAGATCCACCACTATAGGATCATCAATCTATGGAAACTGCACCCCATTAGCTAAGAGGACTTCCCCATCTTGATTTAGAATAATCATCATGCCTGCCGAATGGGACCTACTCTTAGTTGCCCTATCCCACATATAAACAACCGCATTTGGATGCACAACATTCAATGGGTGTGATGGTGGGATGGAAGAATGGAAACCACGGTCTACGGGCAAACTAACTCACTCCTGACACTGCTGGTAGAATTGTGGCATTAGACATGGGATCCCAAACTGTTTGCCCTCGAAGATGACCCAAATTTGTGACCGCCAAATCCTCTAAAGGATCTCAACAACTGCCATGAACAATTGAGGTTGATTTAAGAGTAACATCATCTTTTTCAAGAAGAGCAGGAAAGTGTGGCGAGGCATCCCTTGACCAAGATAATAGAGTCACGAATGATCCATAATGCCTTCGGCACTCGGCAATCAAGAAACAAAATTTTCATTGTTTGCGATTTACCAACAAACCGAACACCTAGGTAGAACATGAACATCTTTCTCGATCAGGGCCTCCGTCGTTGGTAGGATTCGGTTGAAGATCTGGCATACAAACACTTTCAACTTGGATGGAATATTGACTTCTCATAATCGAATCCAGCATGATCTATCTATCCAACTTGCCATGGATCTCCATTGACCACCCTGCTTATCTAACACGACAGCAAAATGATAAGCCAATTTAATGGTGAAAACCCCGTGAGGCGTTCCATGCCAAATCAATCTATTCTCAACCTCTTGACAAGGAAGATGAATTTATTTGATGTCACAATAAGTCACCGGGTCAAACCACTGGCAAAGTTTCAAGTCACACTCTCCTTGACAAAGGACCTCTGCCACTGGCAGGTCCCCTCATTCAAGAAGCACTTGGGGGTTGTACATTGGGGTATCGGGATGTAAACAATGAATCCAATTGGAATGAATCAAAGAAGTTGCCTGACCATTGCCAATCTGCCATCATAATCCCATCACCAATAACTGTCGGCCATCGAGGATACTTTGCCATCCCCAAGACGGGTGAGATCGAGCAGTAGCATTGAGGAAAGTCCCAGTTGGAAAATATTTTCCTTTGTAAACCTGGGCTAAGAGGGAATGGGGTTTGTTAAGAAGAGGCCATCCAATTTTGGCTAAGAGCGCCTGATTAAAATGTTCGAATCGACGAAATCCCATACCCTCATCCTACTTATTCCTGCACATATTTCGCCAGGACATCCACTGAATCCTAGACTTTCCCTCTTCTACACCCCACCAGAATCTGGCCACATGTTTGTCGAAGAGATCAGAGGCAAAGAGGTAACTTGAAACGGAACATGACATACAACGACAGAGCTAAAACGACTGATTTGATCAAAGTCTTCTTTACTGCCCAAGACAATGTCCTTTGCTTCCACCCCTGGAGTCAAGCTAAGAAATGTTCCTCCAAGTACCGGAACATCACCATTTTAGACTGGCCTATTACGGTAGGCAACCCCAGATATTTATTTTGGACTCCCACAACCCTGACACCCAGAATCTGAGCCAATAATTCTTGATTTGGCAGTGCAATGTTTTTACTAAAGCAAACTGCTGATTTAACCAAGTTAACCTTTGGCCATTAAGTTCCTCATATTCATTTAAAACCTCGATCAAATTCTCACATTCTTGTAGAGATCCTCTAAGGAATAGATAAAAGTCATATGGAAAAAACATATGCGATATCCGAGGATCTCTAGGGGAAACTTTTACCCCTTCTAATTTCCCTTCGGACATAACTTTCTGTAGGAGCGCCGCAAACCCCTCCGTGCAAATCACAAACAGGAGCGGAGATAGCGGATCCCGAAGGTGTACCATTCATAAGACCGAAAATGTCATACGTATAACCCTAACATAATTGATGTATTAGGGTTGATATAAATTCTATTGTACTTTGTTCAGCCGACTAAGAGAATAAACAACACTGTTGCTACTTCTCTTGATTCCCAAGGTCAGTTCGGAGAACAATCTACCTAATGTAACCATTGTGCCTCTGGAGAGTGAACTTTTGGTGTGTGCCATTGTGATTTTGTAGAGTTTTTGAGCAAAAACTACAAGAAGGCCACAGTGAATATCGCAGAGCTGAGGGCTATAGGGTGTTTGGTAATGCACGAGTTGGACGCCACGAAAATGGCAGAACACAGCTGGCTCGAGGGAACGAAGTTTGATCACGTTATTTTCAACTTCCCACATGCTGGATTCTACCCTAAAGAATCTACAGATTCACAGATTCGGTTCGTTAATTAACATTGTAGTTAATACCACAACCAACTTTTTACTGAGCTGTATTGATATTGCGCACTTAATTATGTGATGGCAGAGGAGGCACCAGAAGCGGATCATAATGTTCTTCAAGAAATGCCAAGAAGCTGATGGAAGATGGAGGGGAAGTTCACATCACCCACAAAACGATAGGCAAATGGGATCTGGAGGGATCGGCTATGGTCACAGGGTTGAGGCTCGTTGCGAGAGAGAGGTTTAGTTTCATAGGGTATCGAGGCTACAATACCATTTACAGGTTTGAGGTGACAACAACTTCAACTGCAATCCCAGCAGCACCTACAAATTTCGAGTTCGGAACACTGCAACCTAATGTACGATGCTGTCTGCTTGATGCTTTGTGTACAATGCAGCGACAGTCTTTTAAGTTTTAACCACACTTCCTCACTGAAGAAAGCTTGGATTCATCGACCAACTTTGTGGGAGAAGCGAGAGAAGAACTCTCCTTCCAACTCTGCTCCATTCTATATAGAAACAAACGTGGGTAGTAGCACATTATAGTTAGATATACCTCCCAAGTTGTCTTCTCAAACGACTTTCAACATTTACCCTTTTTCTTCTTGCACAAATACCCAATTACAAAAGCTTAAGCATTTTCAACTTCTCTTCATGTTCCGCATCAAGCTTTGGCGGGGTGTAGCAACCATGAAGATCTTCAACTATATACTCCTGTACATAATTTCACGATCAACAATATGAATCCTTCGTCTTTCTGCAACCAAACACTTACTATAAAGGGTATCTCGAGCGATGTTTTACCTTAGTTAGCTCCCTCTTGGCAAGAATGTGGTAATGTCTCTGCCATATCTTTTGAATAGCCATGGTGGCAGCAAGAAAGCCATAAGCTATGCCGAGGATGGCAAAAATGACCACAAACACCAGTACCAGGGCAAAGCATGCTTCCATGGATGCAGGGAAGCAGTCCAAGATTCCCCATCCGTAGCAGCAGTTCTGGCATCCGGCCATCCGAGGATCGCTGCTGTTGAGGGTCGAGCAATGTAATATAAGGCCGAAGAACCCGAGCAGTACAAAGAAAGCCAAAACTCCTGATAAATCATAATAGCAATTCATCACCACCAACATCAGCATGCAGAGTATCCACGCTAGCAAAAACCACTGCTACCACAAGTATAGACAACAAATAAGAGTAAAGATAACATGGTGGCAGCCAGAGAAATTCGCACTACCTATGCAATAGTAGAAGGGAATGGGATGTTTAGACAATATTCGGTCCCAACCGTCACTGAATGAGTTCCTAAAGGCTCCATCTTTGTCCATTAGGAAGGCAAAGCCACCCATAGCAGCAATCACCTAGGAAGTCAAAAAAATTAAACATGAGAACGGTCCTCATATCATTTACGGCTGCAAGTCTATAAGTTCTCTTTCTATGTTTCCCCGGTTGTGGAGCTGTTAATAGGAAGCCAAATTTGAGTACCAAACTCTAGTCTGATTTTATTTGATTGGCACATGTAAAATGTGCTTATCTAAAAGATTTTACTCGAATAACATAGAAATCCAGTTGCCTCGCTCAAGCATATGCAAGATTACTGCTGCATAATAAGCTGCAGGACGGTCATATTTGATTGCTGAGGTGGATTAAACTCAGCACAAGGAAAGTAGAAAGATTATACTCACTGTTTGCACGGCCAAAAAGACAACAATGACATCCCTTGTCACAAAAAGTCTGAACTTTATTTTATGCCAAGAATTCTCCTCCAACGATGCAACTCGGAGATGGAACTGTGCTTTGCAAGTAGTGCAGTGAGAGAAAGCAAATCCTTCCTATTTAAAAAGAGAGAAATATTCTAAGCTTTGTTACCCAAGAACAAGATCAATTAACACCAAAACTGAAAACGTAATAAAATTCATGAGTGGAGCGCTTGCCTTAACTGAACGCCAATGATCAAGGCACACGCGGTGAACAAACTGCTGAGTGCCTTTGCACATACATGGAGATATCAGCTCATCTCCTACAAAATCAATTCACAACATAAAGCAAAACAAAACTAAGTTGAACTTTCAGCAGGAAAATGTAATCCATCCAACTAAACTATATCCAGTCCAGACCACAAACTAAGCAAGCAACTGCATTGCCACAAATGTTCTAAGAGTATAATTCTGACCATGTTCAAGAGAGCCACTTTTTTTATAGCTCAAACGATTTCACAAACCATCATCAATACAAAGCACTTAAACAACTACCATCGCAATCCAATGATTCACAAAATAGAAACTTTGAACAGCCAACCGGGTCAGAAATTCTACGCGAACCCACTTAGCCAAAATCCATCAAGCTCAAGACTTTCCATCCGATGAAACACTAACCTGGCTCGCAATCGCTCTCGAGACAAATGCGGCAAGTGGGAACTGAACCGTTCTCGAGATTATCATCCTCATTCGTAATCTCGCCGGGACTTGCAGGCGACGACAGAGGCGAATCGGCCTGATTCTGCAGTAGAGGGTCAGCGTCACTGTGACTCTCCCCGCCTGTTGGCTCCATCTGCACTTCCGCTCTCATCTAAGTATATAACAATCAAGATGTGAGGCGTATTGGGGAACCCCCAAATTCGAATTGGGCAATCAGCTGATAGAAACTTTATAGTTTAATCTGCAAGGAAACGAAAGGCAAATCGAGATGATAAGTCAATCAACCCACCTGACTGAAACAAAAGAGATCGCGCTACCACCGAAATCCCGGGAAGGAGGAGGTGATGCAAAGTCTCTTGGCTGATCGGATGGCGGAGCCGGGTGAACTCAGAACTCCGGCAGAGAGGAGACGAAGACGACAAACGATGGACGATCTGCGAATCGGCAAATCAATCGCGTTTACATGTGGATAAGGGGAAGCAGGCAGGGGGGCGAAAGAGCTGTAAAATGTCGCCTAAAACGTTTCCAACTGTTCATATGTTTTCTTTTTCGCTCTTCAATAAAGCTTTTCTTTTCGTTGGGTTGTGGAGTTTCTGTAAATTTCCGCCGAGGCGGACTTCGGGGCGGACATGATAGATAACTACGTGCGGGAGCAGATTTCTGGGGACAATTACTCGCCAAAATATCATGATATATCACAATATCGTGATATCGTCAGAATGTCGTTCTTGACAATTTATCATGTTTCGATTTAAGTTCTGAGAAAATAAAATGTGTCGCTTTGACGTTTCGTTCCTCGTTTCGCTTACCGGATTTCATGTTCTGTCCAAAACTCGAAACGTTTCTCCAAGACGTTTCGGTTCACCTTTTCGTCTCTTGCATTTCTCATTTTGTCTGAAACTTGAACTGTTTTGGATTCTCAAAAACCGAAATCGAAATGCGATAAATTGAAGATAGTGGTATTTTAACGAGATGACGAAAATGGTAAATATCGCAATTTGTCGCGATATATTCTGCCCCCGTGATATTACTCAAGGTATGATAGAGGCCACCATATATATATATATATAGGGTACGACATACCCTTAGTAAGAAAACACTATCTAGACATCGAATTATCCGAATTCGGAGCATGAAACTATACACTAACCTTGATGACTGAACCCTAGATTTTAATCTTTATGGACAGGATTAGTACTGTCATGTCTCAAACTCCGATCAATTTAAGGCCTAGATATCATTTCTTGCTCACTCAAGGTATAAAATTATCCATATATAATATAAAAATTTTAGGGTCGTGGCTTGCTCGGTCAAACAAAACTATATAATGGAGAGATTAGTAACCCATTGATTTCCCCATAGAAATCAATGACATGAACATTCAGTAAGAAATTAAGAACATTCCAAATCCCATCTGTTTACACCAAAATAATTTTTATTAATTATTACATGTATGAACAGCTTGACCAATTTACGTAGATAGTTCATGTGTATATGGATGATCCAATTTATCAAGTTGGGTCGTAGGATTAAAGGATGGTAGTGTCTGTACATGAGCGTTGGGCCGTGCTTGGGCCGGCACGGCACGGGCACGCTTCAGGTCCATTTATTTCATGTCGTGCTTGGCACGGCCCGTCAGTTTTCGTGTAGTGCATTGTAGGCCCATTTGAGAACTTTGCAAGGCCCAACCTGTGTCGTGCCTATTTGTGCTCGTGTTGTGTCTGTATTCGTGTTTAATGAAAAAGAAGAAAATAAAAGAGAGAATGAAAAAGAAGGAGAAAATTGGACGGAGAAAGACAGTATTAACCGGGGGAATTGAAAGTATAGCGGGTGTGATTTGGCATTGTTTAATTCTTCGTCCGTTTTTAGTTATGGTAGCAATTACGTATATATATTATATGACACTTGTATTTTGTAATATTTAAACCTATAGTTCTTTCTATATTTATTTTCCACAAAATAAATATTATTTTTGATCAAATAAATATTACTTTTGATCAAATAAATATTATTTTCGTGTCATATCCGTTCTTATACTCAATAAAGTCTCGAAAACATTAGGCCCGACACGGCCCACTTATATACCGTGTCGTGTCCGTGCTCGTGCCCATGAAGTTTGGCTCGGCACGGCCCATAAATTATTCGTGCTTGTGCAGGCTGGCCCGTATATTTCGTGCCCGTGCACGGGTCGTGCTCTAACCGTGTCGTGTCGTGCTAGCCAGTGGGCGGCCCGACCCGGTGCCCACGTACAGTAGTGTCCAATATCATGGATACCATCCAAATCCAATAATGGATGGTAGTGTCCAATATCATGGATACCATCCAAATCCTATAATGGATGTTAGTGTCCAATATCATGGATACCATCCAAACCCCACTATGGATGGTAGTGTCCAATATCATGGTATGGATACCATCCAAATCCCATTATGGATGGTAGTATCCAATATCATGGACATCATCCAAACCCTATGATGAATGGTACCATCCCAAATATAATGGACACCATCCAAACTCAAAGTGGATGGTGCCATTCAACAATAGGGATACTATCCAAGTTATTTGGTGTATGGTGACCATCTAATTGTTCGTCATGGTACGTAGGGTTGATTGTCAAGGGACACGATGACGTGTTGAAGGTGGTTACCAGAAGCAGCAGCTGACTTGCAAAGGGCGCTCGGAAGAGTTACTGGATTCTATGTGGAGATGATTTTCGGGAAGAGAGAGAGAAGGTGGTTAAAGGGCGAGGCGCAACAAAACTGGCAGCAAGAATCTGGAGAAGGGACAGACAAATCAAATCACATACAGTCTCGTCAAAATGTATATGTTCCCTCTAGAATAGTAATCGTAGCAGTAGCACTAGGGACCCCAACAAGGCTTCTCTGTTAGTTGTAGTTAGTAGTTGCGGAGCTCTGAAGGAATCTCCATAGGAGTAGAGGTAACATTAACCAGATCCTTTCATGTATGCATCGAACACCCTCGTTCGAACAGTGTTTGAAGAGGTGTGAACCGAGTAACATCATTTTCTGTTTTCTTGAAGTCAGGGTGCATTGATCACGCGAAATGCCACCTAAAATAAATTGGCACACCTGGTGGGACAACGTATGTTCGATATGCCTCCGCGACGAAGGATTCAGGATGGTAATCCTCCACAAGATTCTGTGGAGGAGGGGCAGTTAGTTAACGTTGAAGTTGACCAAGCAGGAGGAAACAATACTAGAGCATAGGCGCCAAACATGGTGCCTAATGCAGATCCAAACGAGGTAGCACCATCAATTCGCCAAATGGTGGAGGAGACTCGCCAATTGGTGGTGGGGACGAACAGAAACTACCAGCAGGTAACTCTTCATCTTGCTTCTTTGGATGAGCGTATTGATGGTTTGAGTTCACCAGGGACGTAGCCAGGATTTAAAATTAGGGGGGCCGACAAATTTTTTTTTACCTTTGAATACCAACAAAATTTCCCCCCGACATAATGAATAAACGAAATTAAGTTGACGAATTTTTTTCATAGATTTACACAAACAATCGATGATTTATTTACAAAAAATAATAGGTGATTAATAATTCATGGATAAGAATCCTCCTTTTTTTGCAATCAAAATACAATTATGGTTTCAAGAACATGCAATAAAATCGAAAATTAAAATCAATTTAGCGCAAAATTAAAGTATGAATAACAATGAGGTGTGTAAGGAGGAAGTGAAGTTGATATCAGAAAAGGAGTAAAAATTTGCACATTTACCAGGAACAAACATCTCAACCATCTGGGCTACTCGGGGATTATGTAATACATTCGCTATTCTAATGTTGTTAAAATCTTGGGGGGCCATGGCCCCCTAGCAGCAAACTGGCTCCGTCCCTGGAGTTCACGTGCTTATAGACGATTTGCTCAATTATTTGAGCTGGTAAACAAAAATACGAATGATTTGGGTGAGTTTAGGAAATTCTTGAACATGCCAGTTTTACAAACTAGGGCTTTGTCTTCAGATGGTCGATACTTTCCAATCTTGAAAATGAAAACGCTAATCTACCATCCAACGGTGGTGGTTGAGGTGAGTAGCCACGCCATGTGAACCCTACCCCATCGGTGGCAACCACCGTACCAACACCTCAAAGGGTGAATGTCGGCGAGAGTCACGCCACTTCATCTCATATCCATGTTGAACAACCGTCACATGTGCAAGGTGTTGCTCAACAAAACATTCCAAAAGCTAGACCATACATGGCTCCTGTTAATGTTGGGATGAGTTTGGGTCTAAACAATGTTGACCCGTTACCACCATGTGCATACCCGCAGCAAATCCCGCCCCCTTGAACATGCAAGGAGTGGATCCTGATGGATTCATACCGCTTGGGGGGGGGGGGCAACAAGGAGGGCACGAAGTGAATACACTCTGTGATCAGATGGCACATTTGTTAGCTGAACAATTTGGTTTGGGTATGAGACCAACGATGCCACCTGTCTATCGAAAGTCATATCCGGAGTGGTGGATAGAATGTATCTGTTCCCAAGAGGGTTTAGGGTACTGATAACATCGGATTTGCACATGTTTGCACCCTCGTTTCTTCTTCATTTTGGCTTGAGTTTATGCTTTCTTGGTCTATTTTACGCTAGGTTGTGTTCCTTTGTCACATTTCAGGTCCTAGCATGTAAATTGAAGCATAGGCGCAAGCTTCAAGTCAATCGGAGATCATTTGGCAATTCGGGAGAAGAAACACGAGCATGACCTGAGGAATAATGGAATTCTACCTCATATTATGGACAGATAATCATGGAATTTTGTTATGAAAAGAAAGAGGATGAGACTACGAGCGTCTGGGTTCAAACAGCAACGGATTTGGAGTCCGGACGAGAGAGAAACGAAGCTTTGAACAGGAGCGGAGGAAGAATTACGGGCAGGAGAATTACGACCGTAATTTGGCCTCCCATGGCCGTATTTTCACTGCCGAGAGGAGCTTTGGGTGCGCTGAAACTTAACCAAAACGCGTGTTTTGGGCAAAATACGGGCATGGAAGAATTACGACCGTAATTCAGCCCGTAATTCGCCCAGAATCGGGTTTTTGAGGCAGATTCGAGCCAAAGGAAAGGGAGAGCTGGGTTTTGGTTCCCAAACACCCAAGGGACGAACCCTAGAGAGAGAGAGCGACTTGGGAACATTCTTGGAGCTATTTTGGAGGATTTCTTCGCCATTGGAGCTCGGGAATCAAGCTTGGAGATGGAGATTGAAGATCTAGATCAGATTTCTGCAGTCTCTCTCTTCTCTATGGAGTAACTTCCCTTCACTTAGGTTTTGAGGAACCCTAGTTCCATGTGTTAAGATCTTTCTTGTATGAAGTTTTGAATGCTATATTGTTTGATTATAATCGATTGAGGCATGATTTATTGAGTCAATTGAATCTTGATCAAATTCTCTTGATTTCTGCTTTAACCTATGATAGATAGAATCTGATTAGGTTAAGAGAGCTTCCTTGATTGATAGTGGTGAATTGGTTGTGCGAGAGTCAATCAATTCACTGCTTTGTACTGGAATTCATTCCAGTAGTGGAGTTCTGTGTTTATAACCTCACCTTTCTATCCTGGTAAAGACTAGTCGTCTGCCGGGTAGTTGGACTGAGAGGGCTTGGTCAGCTTAAGAGATTCCAAGC